GGGAGGGGATAATTATTTTCATATCTATTAGAAAGATTTTGTTTACTAGAATCGGTTAAAGAAGGATTAGTATCATTTTTTGAGTTTTTTGGTTAATAGGCAGTGTAGGGTTATTATTAGTTAGGGGGTTAATTATGTCTTTAGGGGTAATTTTTTGCATGACACTATTTTCGTTATTTTTAATAGTAGACACGTTAGCTTCGGGCATGTCCTTGTCCTCCTTTTGAGTGGACATGTGTTCATTTGCATGGTTAATTTTTGATTTAGTATTTTTTTTTATTATTAGTGATTTTATCTAAAACCATTTGCTTGTTATCAAGGAGAGAGAAATTGTTTTAGAATGGAATGGTGGTTTTTTCCTTAACCAGGGTGGCCGGATTCTTTCAACCATTGTTTTCTAGGAATTTTGTTGGATCTTTAGATTTATATTGCAAAATTTGAGTATCCATGTACTTACCCGTATTTGCATTGAACAATTTAACCGAGATACCTGGGCCACTGTTGTTCTCCATCGAAATATTGGTGGATTGTTGATTACTTCTTGCTCCTTGCTTCTTTCCTTTGTTGATAGAAACTGTTTTCCACTCTCTCTTGTGGAGTTTCCACCCTTGTTGTAGACTCTTCTTTGGCTGGATACGAGCTTTCTTTAATATTCTTTTGAATATGAATACATTGTCCTAATGTGTGGCCAAGTCTTCCACAATTTTTGCAAAGGAAGTTTTCAACCTTATAATGAATGTATTGCTTGTGGTGACCAATATACAGAAAAGGTTGCACTGGAATTTTCAGTAGAAATTCCACACAAAGCCTTTCATAACGACCCCTTAATGTGATTGACGTACAAACATCAATTTTTAGTAGGCGTCCAATTGCATTTTCAATTTTTTTCAGAATTTTTCCATCGTAAAATTCTGTTGGCAATTGTGGAAGCCTAATCCACACTGCTGAGACAGTTAGTTTTCCTTTGTGGCCACAAAGTTAGGCTTCCACCTTGTAATGGAAAGAAAGTGGCCATTAATGAACCACGACCCTTGATGAATAGCCTTCTCCATATTTTCTTTTTTCTTGAATTTGATTATGTAATAGTCTTCTCCTAGATCAATTAGAGAGAAATCCTCCGTTGGACACCATAATTCTTGAATCTTTTTTTTAAGTAATGGTGTAGAATACGTTTTCCAACGAGCTTCACAATGATATAACACTTCTAGGGCTCATAAGTTCGTTGTCTATCTCCCGCTGTTAACGAGATCATTTTAATGCGTCGTGTTCTAGAGGTCATTGATTGCTCGAACGTTCATTCTTCTGAGGGAGTTCCTGTCAAGTCCATGTTGGATTGGCTCAAATTTGGTGCAAAGATCATTGGGTCGGAGGCTATTAGCATATCTTTGAAGGATGCTTTGTTCTCCAAACCATTTTGTATGAATTTTGCATGTTCAATGTCAGGTGATTTTGGTGGTATTGTGTTTGGAGTTTCATAGGATTCATTTTGTAGAGAGAGAAACTCGCTAGCCTATGAATAATTGAATGACACAAGCAAAATTGATCCTATCGCGCTAAACTTACGAATAATTTAACAAGATAGATAGAATGAAGATAATAGCAAATTTAACCGTCATAGCAAAACTTACGAACAATATCGGCAAGATTAGCTCCTCTTGCTAAACTTATAAATCTATATATCTATATAAAGCTGGAAAAAATATCGGTGACGTGACATCATTCCTAGACGAGAAATGTGATTTATCTTTTTTGTTGTTTTTTTTGCTTTTTCCCACCTATTTTGTTGTAAAAACTGTTTTTATTCAACTTAAATATCCAAGGAGGAAAGTGACGGTTGCAATTGTTAGGAATGCAACGGTTGCAACTCTTAATTAATGAAAATAATGATGATAATTAGATTAGAAATAAATACCAGCTTTCAGTTACAAGTAGTAACAATTAAAGTATCAACAATTGCAATACTGCACTCTTCCTCTTTAAACCCCATTCTTTCGCTTCATTTTTGTGTGTGGTAAAGCTCAGCACAAATAACATACTTACACTCAACAAAGAAGAATTCATTTAAACTTGGAATTGATCTTCCAGAGAAGTCAATGTATAATTTGGGAGTTAAACCGAGGAGGACGATGAAGATTCATATCGTGCTCTTTGTGTAAATCAAAATTTCACAGGTATTACAATTGTAAGCTTTTTTGTTTCTTCTTTACTTTTCTTTCACTACTTAACAAATGCGAAATTCCTTGCACTAAATTAATCTCTATATATATAAAGCTAGGCTTTAAGGAGGTGATGTGGCATGTCTCTTTGATCAAGAAATACATTTATCTTTTTTCTCCTTTTTTGGCATTTTTTTGCCTCATCTCTCTATTTATCTTATTTAAATTTAATATGTCTAGAAAACCTATCTTCTAACGTTGAGTTCCTTCATATTCGTAACCAACTCATCCTTTTAAATTTTGTAACTGTTGTAACAATTAAAGAGGACGACATTACATTCAGTATAGTTGAACGATTGTAACAATTAAAGAAAATATTTATGAATCAGTGTAGCTTTATTTTTCCTGTTCTAAAAAATAGGCCTGCGAACTACTATATAAATATTCAAGGTGTGAATTAGTGTAACTATACTTTTTCTTTTTCTAAACAATAGCATGCAAATAATATAAGCCCATGATATCTGCTGGGGATAAATTAGGAGGAAGGTAACAAGAAGTTTTTTCACAAAAGGAGCCTGGCACCTATATGTTAATTCTGAACTTTTTCAGATTCCAGTCGCTTATAAATATCTCTTACTCCATTTTCTTCTCCAAAATCCTTTAATTTATTTGTTCAATGATACAAGCTTGCAATTTAAATTGGTTTGTTGCCTGTGTATGTTGTTGATTAATTGCAGTTGATGACCCTTCTCCGTGATATAATTGGAAAACATTGTATCAGTTTCACAGTTAATATGGAGGTAATTTTCATACCTTTTTCTTAATTTTTTTTTATTTTGTACTTATGGGGTTGTAACTTGATCTTTTATGTTTTTTCTTTTACGTCATTGCTCTCAGGAGAGGTTTGAGGCTAATAAATTTGTTATCTCTTCTTAGTTCTCTATTTCACGCATGTTTATTAAAAAATGACATTTCTTAGAACGAATGTTTAAGCTAGATATAGGGATTAATATCGATACCTTTATTTTACTTATCAGCTACAAGAATTTATGTATTTTTTCCCTTATTCAAGTCAGAATATACTAATGTAAATGAGTTGTTTCATGTTTGATTTGAGATGTCCTTACATATTCCTTCTGTCAAAAAAATTACAAAGGATTTAAAAAGAATCAAAATTAATTAACATAACGGAAAGAGAGAGGAGTTGTGTAAGATCAAAAGTCTCTCATGTAAAAGAAATATTAATATTTGTGTATTAATATTTACGATAGCTATTTATGAACAACAGTTAATTAAAAAGATATTATATTTTTCTCTCTGTAAAATGAGAGTTAACTTTCACCGTTCTTTAGGAATTCTGTTAATATAAAATTACAAAAGGGTACACGATGCTCTTATTTTTTTTTCTTAATGGACATTTTTTACTTTTCAATTTTATTTTTTCTTATTCATTTGATATTTTACCTTTTACGCGCGCGAGAGCGTAATGCGCACACACACATGTATATATACACACACCCCTCTTTATTATATACTTTTATTTTTTTTATATCAACTAATTTATCATGGACATTTTTGACAGCGCGAAGCGCGGGCTAATTAACTAGTTATTGAATAGAATCGGTAAAAATGAATCATGAATATAATAACAAGTTTAGCTCGTCGTAGCTAAACTTGTAAATGATTGAACTATATAGGCAAGTTAGTCCCTCTGGCTAAACTTACAACTTGTTTGGATGGTTGTAATGTATCGTTTCATAATATATTGTATCATATAATATAATATTGTATTGTACTGTTTTGATGTAATACAATATTTGGATAGATTGTATTGTTTGCCGTCACTTCATGATGTCATGCACCAATAATATGAAGAATAAACTTGTAATATTATAAAGAAAAATTAAGGTACGAGGTAGAATTATTATATAAAAAGATAGAGTAAATGATGAAATAGAATTATTTATTAATAAGGAAGGACAAGTTGAGAGAAAAAAAATAATGTAACGACGCGATCACACCAAATCGGTCGTTACATAAAGTGATATTTTTTCGTCTTTATGTGACAACGAATTTAACATACGATATAATAAAATTTAAGTAACAATCAAAATAAATATTATATTTGAAACAACAATACAATACAATACAATATGTAACAACCATCCAAACAAGCTGTTAGAACAATTTAACAAATAGTACTAAGCTTAGCCGGTCACAACTAAATTTGACCGGTATAAAAAACCAAAAGGAGAAGAAGAAAGAAAGACAAATACGAATATGGAAAGGAGAGGGAGAAAACCAACATGTCCTCTAATGTCCTCCAACCACACCCACACACAATTCAGCCTCTTAACCCCTTATTTTCCATATATGGGGTTTTATTTAATTTCTTTTTCCTATATTCAGAGCCTCAAAAATATATCTCAATATCCCTTCTGGCCTTTCACATTCTCTCCCTTTTTATCCCTCTTAATAGAACAGACCAAATAACAGTTTTTTTATATATATATATATATATATATATATATGGAAAACCTTAAAGATTTGATTTTTTGATGTGGGTATGAGTTTTCTTGAAATTTCTTGGCTGTTTTCCTTAGTGGGTATGTGCTATTGAACAGAGATGAAAAGGTCTATAGAGGGTTTCAATCAAATTAATTGTGTTGAAGAAGAAGCCAAGGCAAAACTCAAGCAGAAACATCTGTTAAACGAGTTTTTAGAACTGCAAAAGGTTTGCACTTTCTGGAATTCTTTTTTAATTTATAAATCCTAATTAGTTTGACTCGTTGATTTCTTTCCATCTGTCTAAGCCTGGTGGGCACAGTGTAGCAATTGCCTGCCTTGTGAAATAGTCGAGATGCAAACAAACTGGCTCGAACACCACCATCGTAAAAAAAAAAAAAAATTGTCTTTTTGTTTCCACTAGTTCCTTGTTTGTGTTAATTCCCATTGTAGACATGTGTAATTTGAGTTTGGCATTTTATTGTTTTGTTTTTGGTTATACTTTTAAGTGTTGTTTACTGTTGATTGTAATTTATAAAGAATTGCTGTTTTTGGTTTCCTGTGATTATATACTGTTTTTAGATGATGTTGTGTGCTTCAAGATGATACTTTTTGGATGTTAATTGTGTGATTATGTTCTGGCAATTCTTGTATAGGAATTTGTCTCCAAGAAGAGGAAGTTGCAGGCTGCAAAGCAGAGGAGAGATATCATTTTGGGTGAAATCCTGTATGATCATAATTTTCTCTATCTGATAGAATAGTTATTTCCTCTATCGCGTCTCGTTTTCTTATAGGTGAAGGAAAACAATAACTACTACACCTCAATCGCAAACTGGTTCTGTTGTGCTATATGAATCCTTTATCACAATTCCGTTCTGCTTGGGTCCATTTCATTCCCATACACTATATTTCGCCGTTTAGACAAATAAGGGGTTTTCAAAAACTAGAGATTCTTTAAGTACAACGACTAACTTAATCATATTGCCTATTGTAGATACTTTACTTTTCTCTTAAAATGATGTAATGGAAAAAAAAAAGGAATAGAAAAAAGAAAGAAAAAGTAATGCCCTAATATTATACTTGTTAAATTTCAGATTTTTAAAGCAAAGGCGTAGGTACTTGTTGAAAAGCCAATCTTCCAATGTTGATAGTGAAAGAGATATTCCACATATGAAGAATTTCGATACCGAGAGTGAAGTTCCTGAAGAAGAAAGATTCAATAGTGGCTATGATGCTGCAGGACAAACAGCTCGTCCCGCCTTCACCTCAAAGTTCAACTCGGTAACATACTACGGTTAAGATATGTCAAAGATTTAAACTTTCACTTCCGCAAGAGTTGGGTATGTTTATATGAGTTATTTATGTTACAGGGATATGAAGTAGGAGATGACGAAGTACTAGCGGGTAGGGACGTGTTGCGATTGGAGTGTGTGCCAATGAATTACCTGATTGATGACAATGGAGTTGGAAAGAAGAAACTCTCTTGGCATGGTGAAGTTACTTTAAAGGTCTAAATTTCTGAGATGTGATCTTCATAAGATTGTGGATAAGTCATTCTTCATCTCATTGAGTACTTATTTTTTATTTCCTTTTCATTTTCCTCATTTTTTTCCCTGAATGAAACAGTCGTACCTGCGGATAATTTATCATATGAATTTCGTTTTAATAATTTTCAGTCCTGTAGTTTGATGATAGTGATGATTGTGTTTTCAACTGTCTACTACTATCCCATGTGGTACCTTTGCTTTATATGCAAGAGGCGGATCCAGGATTTTTAGTAATGTAATGAACCTCCTTAACCATTACTCTTGAAACATTACTTGTGCCAAAGGGATTTAATAACATGTATTTATGCATATATTTAGTTCTTAAAATATAATTTACCCATATAATTAGAGGCGGGCCTATGTATTGAGAAGAGGGGTCAGCAGACCCCGTTAACCTCGGCAAAAATTCTAAACATATATTGAAGACGGTTATAGATTTTGCCCGGAACCCTTAAGATCAAAAGTCCGATGGGGCACTGGTTGAGCAGTCTGCTCATGTGCCCTCTCGCCACCTTCATATCCTGGGTGCGCCTCTCGGCTATGTTGCGTGGACTCTCCAAAATGTAGCCGCACCCGTGTCGGATCCTTCAAAAATGCACTACTTTTGGAGGATCCGACACGTATCCTGCCACATTTTCGGAGAGTTCGAGCAACATAGCCTCTCGGCCTCTGCATATAATAAAACAAAACTAGATGAAGGGGATTCATTTGAACTGCCTTGTTTCTTCCTAGAGCTGGTCATGTTTATATGTATGGATCTTGCAAAGAATTGTAAATCAATAATTCTATTTAAAAAGTCTGATTGATAGAATGATATGCTCATAGCCTTTCTCTCCTCTTTGTACTCTATAGCTTTTGCTGCTTTGACTCACAGCATGAGCTGAGCATCTATATAAATATTTCCAGATCACAGGTTGCTGATTAACACTCGATGTGTCGTCTCTGCCTTTTTAACAATGTTTTTATTGAGAGTACCTTCTCATTGTATGAGTGATGAGGAAAGTTGCTGACTGAAACTGCCATTTTAGCAATCACATATGCTTAAGAGTTATGGTTTTCCATATGCAGCACGAGGGTTCTCATAGAAGGGAAGATGGTTCTATATGTTGACTGTAAATCGAGTGGAAAGAGAGAGGAGCTTGAGCAAAGGCACTTCTCTGTCTATGAGATTTGCTGGATACTGCAGAATAATATTTACTATTTTTTTATATAATGGTTGGTGTTGGTTGCGCAGACTCTCCAAAATGATATTGCACTCGTGTCGGATCCTCCAAGATAGCACTATTTTTGGAGGATTCGACACGCACCCAGCAACATTTTCAGAACGTCCGAACAACATAGGTTGAGACTAGCTTGGGCGCACCATGACTCTATACCACCAAGTACTTGATATCTCTCGCCGGCACAAGTACGGAAAGTATACTCACAATGGATTTGGCGGATCGAAAAAAATTACCTAAGGTTTTTTGTCCTTTACTGGAATGTGAATCCTAATTTACTAGTTGCTCAAGTAACTGAGGTGAGGCAAGTTTATACTTTTTTGATATAATAATTAAGAAATTAGAGAAGATTGAGAATAACAAAGTCGATATGTCCGAGTGGTTAAGGAGACAGACTTGAAATCTGTTGGGCTTTGCCCGCGCAGGTTCGAACCCTGCTGTCGACGCAAATCTCTTATTTTTTTCGAGCTAGTTGTCAATATTTAGGGTGTGTTTGGTACGAAGGAAAATATTTTCTAATTTTTTCATGTTTGGTTGGCCTAAATGTTTTGGAAAATATTTTCCTCATGAACTTATTTTTCTCCAATTGGAGGAAAATGTTTTCCCTATCAAGAAAAGGGAAAATATTTTCCAAAACTCCTTCTCAACCTTCCCACCCTATTCCCCATCCCCACCAACCCACCTCACCCCCACCCTAAATAAAAATATTATTAATAGTATTTCCTTTTCATGTCATAGATAGATTTTTTTCATTTCAATGAATGAGTATTTTTTTTCATTTCAATAAATGAGTATTTTTTTTCATGATATAAAAAGCTATTTTTTCATTTTAACGAAAAAAATACTTTCTTTTCCTGTAGAAAAAAATATATTTTTTTCATTTCAACAAAAAAAGTATTTTCTTTTATTTCAATAAAATGAGTACTTTATTTTCATGTTGCAGAAAGAGTATTTTCTTTTTCAATCAAAAAAGAGTATTTCTTTTTAGTTATGGAGCACAAATTTCATTGTTATTTTTGCGTAAAAAAGTAAAGCATCACATTAGTTCCTTTGGGTTTGATCCAAAATCCAATTACTGGTAACTGATAGTGTCTGCGTTAAATATGAATTGGTAGCCCCAAATAAGAGTAGGTTACAACTTATTAATCCCTCCGTTTTATTTTGTTTGGTCTATTTTCTTATTAGTCCCTTTAAAAAAAAAGACATAATTCTATATTTTTTTAGTGAGAAACTTTATAGTCATACAAATGTTGTGGTATGTTTAAGACCATACCATAACATCCAAATCTGACGTCTAATTCCCATTCAAACCTCAGATTTTCAATTGGCGAACTTTTCCCCCATTTCCAAACTTTCACCCTCAAATTCCTTAATTAGATGAGGAATACAACAATAGATTAATGTAACATGATCAAAATAGAGTTAGGATTAGTTACCCAATAGTTCTCCTTCAAAATCACTCGAGAAATCGCCTCCCACCGAGCTCCAAATTAAATTTTGTGTTATGAAATTTCACACCCTCGAAATCCTCTTCTCTGCCCAGCGATTTCCTCATCTGCGCTTATGCGGCCGCACCTGCGGAAAAAGCATCGCAGGTGCGAAAGTCACTTACCTGGGCTGGGGCCGCATCTGCGGTCCCCCAGCTACACCTGCGGTTCCTGCTGCCTAGATCCTTTCCGCTTCTGCGGCTACCCAGCCGCTTCTGCGGAATCGCACCTGCGGTTCAAAATCCGATGGTGCAAAAACAACAGGTGCAACAAAACTTCAGCCAAGGCATAAATCCAAACCAATCCGTTAAGCATCTGAAACTCACCCGAGGCCCTCGGGACCTCAACCAAACATACCAACCAATCCTAAAACATCATACGAACCTAGTCGAGCTCACAAATCACATCAAACAATGCTAAAACCACGAATCATCCTCCAATCTAAACTTAATGAACTTGAAATCTCATAATTCTACAACCGATGCCGAAACCAACCAAACCATGTCCGATTGACCCCAAATTTTGCACGCAAGTCATATTCACCACTACGAACCTATTCCAACTTCCGGAATTGGATTCCGACCCCGATATAAAAAATCCACTATCAGCCCGAAACTTCAAAAATTCAACTTTCGCCATTTCAAGCCTAAATAACCTACAGACCTCTAAAACACAATCCGGACACACCCCTAAGTCCAAAATCATCCAACAGAGCTAACAGATTCGACGGAATTCCATTCTGGAGCTGTCTTCACTCTGTTCCGACTACGGTCCAAATTCTAAAACTTAAACTCTCATTTAGGGACTAAGTGTCCCAAAACACTCCGAAATTCAAAATGAACCATCCTGGCAAATCACAATAGCAGAAAAAGACACGGAGAATCAGTTAATAGGGGGCGTTAATTCTCAAACCGGCCGGCCGGGTCGTTACACTTAAGATGGTAAAGTCCAAGAAGTAATTTTACAATGATTATTTATGGTTATACATAGTAGTATTTATGGATTTCATATATTATACATCTACCATTTATATTTAGTTATTAAAGCAGTGAGCGCCTATTTGAGTTAATTCTTTTTTGTTAAAACCCAAATTAGAGTTGGAAAATGACACTGTATATATAAATATACAAATTTTATACACTTTTACAGTTACCAAATATAAATAGTTCTGGCCGTGACTAAAAGTGAAATTTGCCATTAGAATCGGCACAGACAAGAGAAATAAAATGGGCCGAAAAGCTAAAGGTTTGAACACCATTTCTGTAGAAGCACATTTGGATCTTGAGCATTCATACTTCCACTATACATATTAAATTACACAGGGATTATTATTGCTTTATTTTAAAAGATTCATATAAGATTTTACCAAACAATGTCTTCTCCACAGCATTGGTACATTTATGTGGTAAAATAGTAACACTACATATAGATTACAATTCAACTCTGAATATGGATAAAAAAATGTAAGTAAATAAAAAAAAAGTTACAAAATGCCATGTCTATAGAAGACAAACTCAGTAGCAAAGAGGTAATAGATTTTCATCTCTTTTATGGGATAATGAAATCAATTTTGTGGTAAGAGCAAGCACAATTTTGGGCACCAATATCTTCTGCAACACAAGGAGGTGTAACATTTCCATCTTTGTACCATTTTTTCCTTTGTTGCAATAAATCATTGACGAAATTGTCCAAGATTTCTCTGGTTATACCCGGCATAACAATAACATGCGCCATATCTCTCACACAAGAAAGCTGCCAACGACGAACAAATTCATGGTCACGAGGTCTCTCCAGGACAACTATGATACTAAGTTCATTGAGCATGACACTGATTCCTGCTTGTTGAAGACGATCTTTTAAGTATTTGGCATTGTCAAGGCATCTCTTGACGTCTTTTTGAAGCCCAATTTGACCTTTAGCACTTAAACTATACCACAAGAAGATTGGAGCTAAACCATTTCTACTTCCAGAAATTGTTGCATCTACTGAAGCAATATACTCAACTTTTCTTGAGAGATTGTTAATGTAACTTTTTCTTGTTATTTGAATTCCACAAGGCATTGGACATCCCAAGAACTTGTGACCAGAAATTGTGACACTTCCAATTGGTTTCTTGAATGAAATCATCTGTTGTAAAATACAAATCGCAAATGTTAGACATAATTTTATCTTAAGTTATAATACTCGAATATTTTAAGATGTAAGTAAGAAAAACGAACTTACATTTTTAATGAAAGGGATAATAAGCCCATTGAGTGCTGCATCACAGTGGATATAAAATTGGTCATGTGTATAGCCACAATCTTTAAGTGTTTGAAGAATAATATCAAGATCATCAACAGCTCCTTTGAAGGTAGTACCTATAGTAAAAATTACAACAATTAATCAAAATATGGAAGACAAATGATCCATTAATTATTATGAACAAGATTAAAGGGAAGATATACATTAGAATATTTACCAATTGTAACATTAATTATTGCTGGTTTGCCCTTGTTTTGAAGTAATTTTGCTTTCAAATCTGAATAATCCATCTCTCCATGTACTGATGTATTAACCATTTCAAAATTCATTCTGTACATCATCGCAGCTTTGGCGACCGAATAATGAGAGTCTTTTGATGCATATAATATCCCAGTTGGAAGTAATTCTCTCCTGCAAAAATAAAGTTAAAAATTAGATTTAATAAAAAAAAATACTTTTATATTAATTGCTCTGGTTAAATTAATGATATCAATTATTAATATTTTACTCATATATTTCAACATTGACTTTCTGATCCCAAATTTCTTTAGCTTTGTTAGATGAGAAACAACTATCTAAGAGTACTTTTTTTACAAAAGTAAATAACTTTTTTCATTGAAATAGAGTTTATAAACTTGGATGGCTGATTAGGTGCTTAATTATATTTTGCATAAAGCTAGAGTGGTTGAAGAAAGTGTTTCGGGCTCACGCAATCAAACATAATATATATATATATATATATATATCAAAATATTTGGTTAGGCTATTTCCAAATTCTTTTCTTTTCCAATAGAATTACGAATAGAGTAAACTAGTAAAATTAGGTGCATACCC